AAATCCTGCCCCAGGGCCCCCCAAACCTGCCTCACCACTGCAGGGGGGCACCCCAAAATGGCACTCCTAAAACGGCCCCCCAACACTGCCCAGGGCACCCCGAATCCTGTCCCACCACTGCGGGGGGGTGGTACTCCAAATGCTGCCCATCCTCCCCAGATCCTGCCCCGGGCCACCTCAAATCCTGCCCCCATTTCCCCCACAGCCATTTTGGGGTCCCCTCGTTTCCCCCACTCACTGTTTCCCCCATGACCTGCAGCCCAAGGTGCCCCCAGTGCCCCCCCCGCTCTGGGGTCTCACCGTTGCCCCCCACGACCTGCAGCTCGGGGTACTTGGCCTTGATGTAGCGGATCATGCTGAGCTGGTACCGCGAGTTCCCCTGCGACGAGTCCTGGGGGCCGGGTTTGGGGTACAGGGGTTGGGGGGGAAGTGGGGAGCAGCAGGTTGGGGCACAGCGAACAGGAGGGGTGCCCACTCCCAGGTGAGGGGGGCCCCGGTCACCTCACACGATTTGGGGGTGTTCCCTGCGCCCCCCTAAAACTCCCCAGCCGCCCCAGTTCCCCCAGTTTTTGGGGTGCCCTGCCACACCCACCAGTACCACCAGGTTGGTCCCTGTGTGCACCAGCAGCTTCATCCCCACCCTCCATCCCCACACCCTCCATCCCTCCCCAGTTTTTGAGGTCCATCAGTTTTTGGGGTCCCCCCACACCCACCAGCACAATGAGGTCGTTCCCCCGCCTGCACCAGCGGCACCAGCCCCCTCCCTGTCCCCATCCTGATCCCTCCAGCACCCCTGGCTTTGGGGTTCCCTATTTCCAGGCCCCTCCAGTTTTGGGGTTCCTCCATTTTGGGGTGCACCCACCAGCACCACGAGATCCACCCCTGCCTGCCCCAGCAGCTCCATCCCCATCCCCGCCCTCATCCCTCCAGCCCCCCTGGTTTCTGGGGTCCCCATTTCCAGGTCCCCCTGGTTTCTGGGGTCCCTCACTTTCAGGCCCCCCATTTCTGGGATTCCCCATCTCCAGGCCCCCTGTTTCTGGGGTCCCCCATTTCCAGGCCCCCTGTTTCCGGGGTCCCCCATTTCCAGGCCCCTGTTCCTGGGGTCCCTCACTTCCAGGCCCCCCTAGTTTGTGGGGTCCCTCACTTCCAGGATCCCCTGTTCCTGGGGTCCCCCATTTCCAGGCCCTACATTTCTGGGGTCCCCCATTTCCAGGCCCCCTGTTTCCGGGGTCCCCCATTTCCAGGCCTCTCTTCCTGGGGTCCTCATTTCCAGGCCCCTGTTCCTGGGGTCCCTCACTTCCAGGATCCCCTGTTCCTGGGGTTCCCCAATTCCAGGCCCCCTGTTACTGGGGTGCCCCATTTCCAGACCCCCTGTTTCTGGGGTCCCCCCTGCTCTGGGAGCACCCACCAGCACCACGAGGTCGGCCCCCGCCTGCACAAGCAGGTCCAGCCGGTACTTGTCGTCCTCGCGGGTGCCGATGGCGGCGCCGACCCGGAGCTGCTTCCGCCCGTCCTTGGAGGCCGCCGGGTGCTCCCGGTTCTTCTTCAGGTCCGTGCGGGCCATCAGGGCCACGAGCTCGTCCCGGCTGTTCACGATCGGCAGCTTCCCTGCGGGGACACCGGCGGGGTCACCGGGGCGGGAGGCACGGGGGAGGCCACGGGGACACGGAGGGGACTCCGGGGTCGGGGTGGAGGAACGCGGAGGTGACCCCGAGGGATGGTGACCCCGAGGGATGGTGACCCCGAGGGATGGTGACGGGGCATCGTAGGGGTGGCCCCGGGGATGGGGTGACATTGAAGGAGACCCCAAGGGACAGGGGGACTGTGGAGGAGACCCCAGGGACAGGGCACTGTGGAGGAGACTCCAAGGGATGGGGGACATGGAGAGGATGGCAGGGACACGGGGACATGAAGGTGACCCCAGAGACAGGGACGGAGGGACACGGACGTGACCCCCAGGGAGGTGACCCCAGGGAGCAGGATGAGGTGACACCAGGGCTGGGGACAGGGTGACACGAAGGTACCCCCCAAGGTGACACAGAGGTGTCCCCCAGGTCAGGGGGATGTGAAGGTGACCCCAAGGGGTGGGGTCAGGGTGACACAGAGGTGACCCCCAGGACAGGGTGACGGAGGTGCCCCACACGGGGTGCCCACGGTGACAGGTGTGACCCCAGGGGGGTGACAGGTGCCCCCCTCACCCTTCTTGCTGCGCTGCAGGATCTCATTGGCCTCTTTGAGGGTGACACCAGCCGGGGCCACCACCAGGTCCCTGCGCTTGGTCATCACCTGGGGACACAGGGACCTGCGTGTCATTGTTACAGGCACTGTCACAGGCACTGTCATGGGCACTGTCACTGTCACTGTCACTGTCACAGACACAGTCACCTGCACGGCCATTGGCACTGTCACTGTCACTGTCACTGTCACAGTCACCTGCACGGCCACTGTCACTGTCACTGTCACCGGCACTGTCACTGTCACAAGCCCCGGGGGACCTGGGGCCGCCACAGAAGCCCCCCTGCCCCACATCCCACCGCCCTCCGACCCTTCCCGTCCCACTGCCCCACGTGCCCCACTGCTGTCCCTCCCTGCCCCCCCCGTGCCCCCCACGCACCTCAGCCAGGGGGGTGCCCCTGTCCCGCTCCCGCAGGAAGTCGATGTCCCGGGAGGTGACGATGCCCTCGAGCCGCCCCCCCAGGCGGCCCGAGTGGGTGACGGGGACCCCCGAGAAGCCGAGCCGGGCCTTGGCGTCCCACACGTCCCCCACGGTGTGCGCCGGGCTCATCACCAGCGGCTCCGTGATGAACCCCTGCTCGAACCGCTGCGGGCACGGGGGGTCACCGGGGGGGCACCCCCAGGAACAGGGGGCGAGGGGGACCCCAAGGATGGGGGCGGTGACAGCCACGGGCTCATCGTTGCTGGTCACCGGCGGCAGCTTCCTCGGGGGCGCTGGGGCACGGGGGGAACAGGGGGTCCGAGGGGGATGTCACGGGGTGGGGACCCCCCTTACCTTCACCTTGCGCACCTCGCTGGCCTGGAACTCGGGGGTGCAGTTGTGGTGGATGATGCCGATGCCGCCGTTCAGCTGGGGGGGCACGGGGGGGCACGGAGAGGGCAAAGGGGGGGCTATGGGGGG